TAACAACACGGAAATTTCTTTGAGGGTTGAGGGTTGGGGGGTAAAGAAATTGTAATAATAATAATAGAAAACTTTTTAGAAATACTAATAATAAACACGCAAAATTGCATAACATAATAAAAATACGTGAATGCACGCACGAATGCATGCATGTACGAATTCGTGGGTTCGTTTGTTTTTAGAAGGCGGTGACGACCGCGAATAAGTTGTTTAAACGCGTTAACGAATTTCAAATCTAACGGTTTCGAATTCGACAAGTAATAAATGTAAATGACGCTTTTTTTTTTTTGTTTTATTTTATAGTTATTAATAAACGGAAATTAATTTAAATTACTTGTGAAAATTTACTTTGTTGTGGTACGTTTAAAACGATAATATTTCGTATATATTAATATATATTTATTTAAGATTATTAAATTTCTTTTTTTAACGTGAAAATTCTCTCACACGGATTAATATGTGTTTGTCTGTGGTTATAAATATAAATACGTTTTCTATTTATATATATATATTTACTAAAAATTTAAACTCACCGAAATCCGTTGAAATTTTTAGTTTTGTCCTTGAATAGTAAAACCCGACGTAAGAAAAAAAAAAGGAAAAAAACAGCCATTGGAACTTTATATAATTTAGATTTAAATCGAAAGGTTGAGTAAGTTAAACCGAAGAAAGTTTAGTTTTATAAAAAAGTGAAAATTTTATAAATTTTTTAATTCTTTTCGAGGTTTCCATTGATAAATTTTACCCGGGCAATCGATTTTCCACCAACGGCATGATTGGTTTTCGTTTCTTCATGTTTTTTTCCTTTTTTTTCCTTTTTTTGTTGCTTTATTAACCGATCACTATAAAAATTCAACGGGGTGAAAATAGTTTACGCGATTGTAATAAAACAAATGAATTAAAATTTCAAAAAATTAAAAAAAAAATCATTTTTTTCTCATCAATTTTATAATTTCCACCGCACGGGGAAAAAACCGTTGATCAACTGTAATAATTTTTAAAAATGATATTCTTCTAACCGTCTGCTCGACCAATCAGAAAAAACTTTAAGAATAACAACAACGATTCTGATTGGTTAACGTCATCACCCGCGAACCAATAATAAAACGTTTCAAATTGAATTAACCAATCGAATTCGAATTCGAATTTTTTTAATTAAAATTTTATTTTTGAATATTCCCGCCAAAAAAAATTTATTATCCGCGTGCACCGACCGTTATTTAAAAACTTTTTTTTTTTACATTTTATTCCTTCTATTACAATAATAATAAATTTCATGTTTTTTTCTTTTTCCCCCTCCTTTCCTTTCCCCTCCCTTTTTAAAAAGCATTTAAAAAAGTTTTTTATTTTTTAAATTTCTAATGAACTTTTCAACTTTCCATCAAAAAAAAAAAAAAAAAAAAAATTAAAACACTTGGGAGCTTTTTTTAATACAACAGCAAGTTTTCTTTTTTTTTTTTTTTTTTCTAAATTTTGTTTGAAAATAAACAAACGATATTAAAAAATAAAAAAAGGGAGTAAAAAAAAGCTAGAAGAAAAATAAAGTAGAAAATAAGGTAAGGCTACGAACGGGGCAGCAGAAGAAGCAGCAGCAGCAGCATGAGGAGGAGGAGGAAAACATCGGGGGAAAAAAACGACGTGGCAATAGCAAACCATTTTCAAACATAATTATTTCGTTCAAAAAAAAACAAAATTTCCCCTCTTTTCCCCCTCATTAAAATTTTTCTTTCTTATTTTTTCCTGTTGTTTTCATTTCCTCTTATTAATTATTGACTCATAATAATAATAATAATAATGATAATGATGATAATTTTAAAAGTCCGACTTGTAATTTTTTTATTCCCTGGAATTCGTACGAATTTTTTTTGTTTTTTCTTGGATATTTTCACACTTTTTATTTTATTTTCAATACGACAATGATAATGATTTTCAAGTGTGCCAACATTCGAAAAAAAGAAAAGTTTATTAAATTTATTTCCTTTTCTTTTATTATCACCAAACTAAAAAAAAAAAAAAAACTTTTTCCTTTTCTAAAAAAACTTGTTTTAAACTCTCTGGAATCATTTTTCTTATCTTGTAATTATCCATTTCAATGTTTTGTGAAAAGTTTTTTTTTTTCTCTCTCACTCTCTCTCTCTCTCTCCCTCTTCCTCTATGACTTTTCATTAAATTTCCAAACAATGTTGGGCAAAATTTCTTTTTTTTTTGATTCTTCTATTATCATTATTATCATCGTAAAATTTGGCATCGAGTAAATTCTTTATTATGGATTTTTCTTCTTCCTTCGTATGTATTTTCACTTAACATCATCATCAACACGTTTTTTCCTTTTTTTTTTTTTTTTTATTTCTCAAAAGAGATTTTACTTCTCTTTTGTTTTCCATTTATCAATCCCAAAGGAATTTTTCCCTTCTATCCTTTTTTTCCTTTTTTCCTTTCGTTTGTTTATGCACGGATAAATTTACACGAATATCTTTTCCTTTTTTTTTTTTTCTTTCGCCTTATTTGGAAAATTTTAACACGATTTCCGGTTACGTAACCTTCGACCTCTTTTTTATTTAAACTTTATAATAATAATAATAATAATTAAACTTGAATCGAACATGCATAAACACGTGAATGTATATATGTACACGTGCACAGAATTTTCCTAATTTTTTAAACAAACAAATAAATTAAATAAATAAACTCACCTCGTTTTTTTTTTTTTTGTTGTTTTATTTTTCCATAGACTCCATAAAATTAAATAAAAATAAAAGAATCACACAAACAAATAAATAAATAAATTAATTAATTAATAAAAATGCGTAACCAATTTGATATAACTCGGCGGTTTTGAAATAAATAAAAAACGAACGTGATTTCACGTCATCGAAATTAATAATAATAATATTTAACAAAAGAAAAAAAAGGTAAAATCTAAAAAAAAAAAAAGTTCGCGTGAAAAAATTATATATTTTTTAAATAATAAATATTATATTCGTACGTAGTGGAAATAATAATAATATTTTCGAACCGAACGTCCCGAACGTTTCCACGGCACTGAAATTTTTCTCCAGGAAATATACATTTAACGTAGCTCACTCAACGTGTGTCGTTTTATACTACTATTAACAGAAAAAAAAAATTTTCCCGTTCGCGCGATACTTTTTATATAAATAAAAATAAATAAATTTTTATTTATTTATTTTACGACGTTTTATAATTTTTAATAATTTTTTTTTCAAAGACGCAGACACACACACACGCACCCGCGGATTCTTTTAAAACCGTTAAAATTTTCACCTCACTCTTTATTTAATATTATTTAGTATTAAATTTCGATAATAAGTAAAAGAAATAAGAAAACTTTTTTTATAATAATAAATTCTTTCGACATTTAACAAAAAAAACCCACGAAACGACTTATTTAACACCTTTTTTCGTTTTTAAATGAATTATTCAAATTAAACACAACGTTCGACGTCCGCCATTTTGGTTCCGAATTGAAAAACAAACGATTTATTACTCTATGACGTTAAATAGGTAATTGATATATAATAATCGCGCGTTGTTGTTTGACCTACGACGTATTAATTAGAATGAAGCAGACGAAATTTGTTTTGGAAAAAATTTATTATTATATTTGTTATTGTTTATATAAAATTTATGCTTTATTATCTCTTTCTAACCGTTTTTTCTTTTTTCCTATGATGAGTTTATAAAATTTCAATGAATTCAATATAAAGCAATGTTTTAATAATAAATTTTCTTTTTAAAAATGGAAAAGTATCCTAAAAAAAAAAAAAAAAAAAAAAAAACAAAACAAAAACGACTATTTACTATTAAACTTTTTGTTTATTAAGATTACAAGAAAGTTTGGAGTAATTAATAAAAATAAAAAACTAATGAATTTATTTTTACATTTTTATTATATTTTATTACTTAATTATAACTACTACTACTACTATTACTACTACTCGAAAAGTTTTTGTTTTTTTGTAAAAAAAAAAAGTTTCATTATAACATTACGTAAAATTTATAAATCAAAAAAAAGGGAAAAGGGGGAGGGAAAAACCTCAGACGAGAGTAATAATAATAAAACTTTCCCCCCCCCTCTCTCTCTCTTTTCCTTTTTAAACATGCAATTTAAAAGTTTATTTATACTCGTGTCGAACAAAAAAAAAAACCTAAAAATGAAGTAGGGGGGTGGGGGAAGGGAAGGGAAATATAAAAAAACAACGAACAAACGATCAAAGTTTATTTTTTTTTTCTTTTCTTTTTTCCTTTTTTCCTTTTTTTTCCCCTCATTCCTTCTCATTCCCTTATATATATATTTTTTCAACTTTATTTCCGCTTTTCTTAAAAAAAAATCACATCAACGTTTTCATTTCCTATTAAAAATATTTTTTTATAAACAAAAAAAAAAAAAATAAAGAAAAAAATGGAGAAAATTTTTTCCTTTTATTTTATTAAAAATAATATGTATCGAAAAAAATTTTATTTTTAAGAAATGGAAAAGTAATTAAATAATAATTTAAATTTTTTTTTAAAAAATTTGAATTTATTATATAAAAATATATAAGAAAAAAATATTACAAAAAACAAAAAACTAAAGTTTTATACAAATGTTCATTTTTTTATCGTCAATGAACACAAAATGATTCGATAATAAAATAAATTTTGTATTTAAAAAAAAAAAAAAAAATTTTTATTCGATTCTTATAAGTTATAAAACATAATATTTAAATTTGCATACAAAATTATAAAATATCAAAAAAATATGATGCAATTAATAATATTTAATATTAAACATCAAACTTTTGAAAATCAAACAACACTCGAGAGAAATCCATTGGAATCAATGAGATCATCAATGTATTATTATTATTATAATTAATTTTTTAAAAAAATTTCTCGAACCTTAAATATAATGATTAAAGAAACTCAATTCTGTTATACAAGGAAAAAGATTTTTAAAAGTCAGTGTTTATTGATTAGAAAATATGAAAAATATTCCTTCAAAGTGCCATGTTAGGTTCGAGTGCTGTTGTAAAGTCTAAATAATTTTTTACCACATCAAACGAAAAAACAAAAACTAAATCACACAGTCTTAAATAATAACATAAATTAAAATAAAATTACATATTTTCTTTTTTAAATTGTATTTCAAGTGCGTCATTTAACTTTAATGATAAATAATTAATTAATAAAATTCATTCGGAGGCTGAATTTCAGGTAATTTAATATCAGAATATAAATCGTCTAATTGAGACTCATTTTCATCCTCCCATATTTTATTAAAATGAAATGTTAAATCATCACATGGTTCGCACGTAATGGTTTTTAACGGTAAACTAATTTTAGCAGGTTTGATTAATTTAACTATATGATTGATTGTTTCTTCATTAAGTTTTCCATCAATGAAAAAATTATTAACACAAGCCTCATCAGCTTGCTCACACATGTTGTGGTTATGAATATCTGGTAAATCGTATTTTAACTTGTTGTTTTTACATATTGAACTTGATTTAACTTTGTTTTCTTTTTTACACGAATATGATACGTTTTCATTATTTTCCTTTTTAACGAAACTATTAGATTTTGTATTTATTTCTTTGGCTGACAAATTACCTACTACTGAACGAGAATGTAATGTGTTTCTCACATCTCCCAAAGCATTTGTTTTACATCCTAATACTCCTTTTTTTCTTGATCCTAACGATTTTGAAGAATTTCGCACGCTCGAAACGTTTTCCGATTCTCTTAATATTCGCTCACTGAACATTTTGAAACGATTTTTTATTAAATTTTTGTAAATTTTATAAGCACACTATGACCGTTACAAAATTTTACAGACAAAGCGGTACAATAATGCCATCTGGACGATGAAAATAGGAACTAATTTTTATGGTTTAATTTTTAGGGCCTGTAAAATTTTACGAGAATATTAATTTTTTTACATTTATTTATCGTTTAACTATATAAATTATTTAAAATAATATTACTGTATCTTTTAAGCAAAGATAAAGTTAAAAACATTTTATTAAAATGATCAAAAAATTTAGTTTTATCATGAAAAAGGCCCCGATAATGAAGCAGAAACAAAGCAATGTAAATCATTTAAATACATTTTTTTTTAAAAAAGTAATTATATACATGTAACAATTTTCAAGTATATTTGTGAGCGATTTAAAAATTATTTTTATTTAAAAACAATACTTACGCATTATTTCACGTATTAAAAAAAGATTAGTAATTAATTTCGCAAGACTTATTTAAAAATACAATGATTGTACAATAATGTATAGGTCACTATGAAGTGAGACTCAAAAAAGAAAAATTTTAAGGATAAATTATTCTCTTAAATATATTTAATAATGTATCATTAATAGTATCTCATATTTATCAGTGTGTTTGGGTAAAAATAAAAATATTTATTTATTTCACATTACCTAAAAAAATAATTTAGGTAAATAATCAAAATGGAAAGAAGAATTAAATTAAAAACATTAAATAGCCATATAACCTGTAAAATTTGCAGGGGCTATTTAATCGATGCGACTACTGTAACGGAATGCCTTCATACTTGTAAGTATTAACGTTTAAAACCTTTCTTATTATAAAATTATATAAATTATTTTGTTAAAATAACTTATATAATTTTGCAGTTTGTAAAAGTTGTTTGGTTAAACATTTAGAAGAAAATAATACATGTCCAACATGTAATATTGTCATACATCAATCTCATCCTCTTCAGTACATCAGTTTCGATAGAACAATGCAAGATATCGTTTACAAATTAGTACCCCATTTACAAGAAAGTAAGTCAATGGAAAAAATTTAATTTTTACCATAGAATAATAAATCTCATTCATTTTTTAAACAATGCCTAACATTTCTTTCCTCAGATGAAATGAAACAAGAAAGAGAGTTTTACAGACTGCGTGGTTTACCATGTCCAAAAGATGTACCCGTCGCAGGTTCGGATTTAGAAGAAAAATCGATAATGGATGCTCATGCCGAATCGGATTATCACAGGCATGAAGAACAGGTACATTTGGAAATGGTAATAGGTGAAAATATGAAAAGCTTACCTAGAAAATTTATAAGATGTTCCTCTCAAGCGACCATAACTCACATAAAAAAATACATTGCTAAAAAAGTTTGGTCTCCTGAAAAATACAGTAATGTAAATATTAATTTAATTTTAATCTTGATCCGTTTTAATATTTAATCCGTTGGATTTTTCACATCATTTTCTTTTCTTTTCTTTTCTTTCAGATCGATATTTTATGCAATGGAGAATTATTAGGAAAAGATCACACTTTGAAATTTGTTTACGTCACACGTTGGCGTTTAAAAGATCCTCCTATGAAATTAGAATATAGAAGAACGATCGACATTTAATTCATTTCCCGCCCCTCCTTTCCCCCTCCTACCCCCGTTCGACGTAAATGTAAATAAGATTTTTTCCCCGATTTCATGTAAATAAAAAAAAAAAAAAAAAAAACCGTTAGTTATTACGTATAAACGACGAAAACTCAAACATGGCGACATTACACGTGATTGATTAATTAATCATTTGTATATAAAAATCAACGTTTACATTATACATGTGATTTATTATTATTAATATTAAAAATGAAATTTTTTTTCTATCTCTCTCTCCCCCACTTTTTTATCATTATTATTATTATTATAAAATTCAATAAACTAAAAAAAGAAAGTACGTATATGATGTAAATCATGTAAAAATAAATAAATAAAGTTTTTTTTTTCTCTCTTTTGTATAAATTTATTATTATTATTATCATATATGTATATATTTTTGTTTTCTTTTACCATACAAATAATTATTACAAAAAAATTATTATTATTATTATTATTTACTTTTGTTTTTACGCGTAGAAAAATGAAAATTTTTTTTTTTTTGATAAAATAATTAATTTTATTCTCCAACGAGAATATTTGCGTATATAAATATAAATATATATATGTATATAAATCTTTTAAACACGTTTAAAAAAAAAAAACCGTTAAAAATTATATTTATTAATGAACACAATTAATTAAAACGAATTCGTAACTTCGCACCGATTAAAAATGTTTTTTTTTTTTCCCGTCGTGGCAGTAGTGAAAGGGAGCTGGGGTAGGGGCGGGGGAAAGTGATAGGAGAAAAAAATTTCGGTTAACTGAACGTACCCTCCCATGCATCTTCTTTTTGTTTCGCTTCCAATCTTTTCTTTTCTGTGGAGAGAGAAAGAAAAAAAAATAAATAAATTCCGCCATTTTGTTTTTTTTTTTTTTGGGGGGGGGGACGATGACGTCAGTATCGTCAACGCACTTACCTCTTGCTTTCGTCAATATTTTCTTTTCCGCTTCTCTTTCTTCTCTCGACGTCGGCAACCTGACTCCCAATGCTCCCGTCACGAGCCTTCTCGCAAGTGCCGGACACGTATCCGGCCTGGGTTTGTACGGTTGTAAAAATTCCGCCGAACGTCGAGCTTTCATTTTCGACAAAGTCGTACCGTCTTTCAATGACCTCGTTTTCACGAACGGATGATACGATGAGAGAACCTCCGACACTTTGATCCATCACATTAACAAAAAAAAAAAAACAACAGAAAAAAAATTAAAAATTAAATCTTGGTTTTAATTTAAAAACTCCGGGGTTGCCAAATTTCCCCGCGATATTTTTTCATTTCCGGTATGGGAAAAACGTTTCGTTCCTACAGTAACATAACGAGTCTGACATGGCGCGATGCACATTAAATTCCGGTAACAATTTAAATTCCCAACCGTGGCCAATCGAATAAAGGAAATGAAAAATAATAATGATGATAATAATGATAATGATAATAATAATAATAATGAAAGATTTAATAACTCGAAGTGAAAGTAACCGTTTTCTCACTTGCGCGCGAGTGTGTGTGTGTGTGGCGTAACAATAAAAACTTGATTATGCAATCGAATTCGCGGCGATTATCAAACTTCCTTTTTCGCGATATAATGATAATGATGATGATGATAATGATGATAATACTACGTAAAATCAAAGACGATTCAATTTTTGTGTGTAAAAAAAAAACAAAGTGCTAATAGATTTCGAGACAATGGATACTAAAAATAACATTTATGAAGGACAATGACACACTAGATCCGTTTGAGAGAAAGAAAGGGGGGGAGGGGAGGGAAAGAGACAATCACGCACGCGGGGAGAAAGGAAGAAAGAAAAGTAGAAGAAGGTAGTAGACACGTTAAAAAAAAAAAGAAAAAGGAAAAGTAACCAGGAAGAGAACGTTAAAACGAAATCACAACCCAAACTTGTCCCCGCATGCCTGTCTCTCTCACTCTCTCTCTCTCTCTCTCTCTTTCTCTCTCGTTTTCAAAATCAAACGTCTCGGGGCAATGTAAACGTGTTTACGGTAAAACGTTAATAATAATGATGATGATGATAATAATAAAAAAATCATTACCGACTGCCGAACTGCTAAATATTCCAAGGGCGTGAGTGTCGTCAACCCATCTGATTTCGAAACCGGAATTTTTAAATTGTGAAAAAACCGTCATGAGATCCTGGAGTTGAAATTCCGGTGGAAAATTGTATATTTCAATGACGTGTGGAAATTCGTCTCCGACCAAATCCAGGGATTTCGTTTTGAATTCCTCGTAACTCGTTTCCGGTTTTTCGATTGTCACGTCACCGACGGCGCTCGTCAATTGTTCGAGCAGTGACGGATCCAAACATTCTCCCGTGTCGTCAAACATGGATTCCCAATCGCATTCCTCCGGATTGAGGTGAACCGACGGTGATGACGATGATGGTGGTGGTGATGGTTCTTCTTTCCTTTCCGTTCTCTCGCCATTTTTTTTTCTCTTCGATTCTTCTTCCCCGCTTTTTCTTATCCTTCTTGCTATGATAGAATTTTCATTTCCCTGACTAGATGGTGGTGGTGGTGATGGTGGTTCCCGTACGATCGCGTTCGCTTTTCTTTCGTCCTCTTCATCTTTTTTTTCGCGGTTTACCACGTTGTCGTCGTCGTCGTCGTCGTCGGCGGTTAAATCAATTTTGATTTCGTTTACTTTTTCCGATCTTTTGTTCTCTTCCGCTTCCCTAATGCAATCATCTTCTTGACGGATGGTTATCACTTCGAGAGACTTTGTTTTGTCCTTTTTTCCATCGGCCACCACAACTTCTTCGCTGCCGCCATTTCGGGTAACTTCCACCACGCAGACCGCGTCATCCTTTTTTTTCACTTCCTTCACCTCCTCTTCCTTTTTGACTTCATCATTTTCCGTTTTCTTATTTTCACATTTGACACAGTTTTTTATATCGGCATTTAAATTACTCGGAAACGAATTACCGACGCTCACGCAATTGTTATCAATCGTCTGATTCGCAGAACGTCTCCCCTTCGGAACGTACACCTGTATATCCGGTTTCCTCTGTTTGTTCTGAATGCACGAACTTTTCCCGATTTCCGGCACGGCACCGTTGTTCGCGCACACGACGCCATCACTTTTTTTTATTGTACTCTCGTAATTTTTACAACCCGACGGCGGGACTTTGTTTTGCAAACGAATCGACGATATGGCATTGCGAAAAACCGATATCCCGTTGTTTGTTCTCCTCTCGCTTCCGGTCGATTCTTTACCCTCGTCCGAATATCTAACTCCGGCGTTATTCTGTATCGTCGCTGCCACGGTTTTGACCATTTCCCGCGGCTGTATGCTCGGCATGACGTTGGCATTTTGCTCGAGCCTTCTCGCCGCCGGAGGACGGTATATGCTCACTGACGGCATAGTTCTCGCACGTTTAACCTTTTTGCTCTCTTCCGGCCGACTCGATTCGATCGTACGTCTGACGACAAATTCTGATCCCTCCTTTTTCTTTCTATCACTTTGATCTGTCCAAAAATTTTCCGCCGACGATGACGTTGGCGCAGTACCGGAATTAGGTATTGACCTAATAAAACAAACGAAATATTTAGAAAATTCAGACAAAAAACTACTTTCATGGAAAAATTATTGTTGTTAATAATAATAATGATAATCTAATTATAATTTCATCTGAAAAAATTATTCGTGCTAAAAATCTTTAAGGAAAAGTTGTTTTTTTTTTTTTTTTATATAATAAGTGAAGGTGAACCACGATTTAAATTCCATTAAATGTTTAAAACAGGTATTAAAAAAAGTAAAAAAAAATTTCGATTTCAGGACCAACAACTTTTATTATCATTATTACTTTTTAATTTTTTTTTCTTTTTTTTGTTTCCTTACGATTTCGCTTTTCAAAATTTTTATTAATGTTTTAAATTTTGTTGTTGTTGAATTGACACATCGATTGTGACACATTCGAAATCTGCATACACCGAACGTCAACTTTTGTTCACGCACACGCACACGCACGCACGCACTTACTTTAAATCTCTGTCGAAACAAACAACGATCCTCCTATCGTTTCCTTCTCCTATCGAAAATGTTTTTAAATTTTCAAAACGACTTTTAACAAATTGATGAATCAAACATCTTCTGAAATTGTTGAAAGGAGGAAACACCAAAACTCTGAAACAAAATAAATAAATGATGAGTCCAATTATATTTTACGAAGGAAGAGGAGGAGAAGGAGAAGGAGGCTGTGGCGGCGGCGGTAGGGCTAAGAGGGCTGGCTAATCGTTATCAATCGTTATCACCACGTCAATTAATTTCCATCCTACAATGCAACAAGACGAAATTATGATGCGAACGCCCCGTTTAATGTCATTCATTTAATTTTGATGAACGTTTTCATTTTTTTTTTTTAATTCGAATGACGTCTGAAACCGATTTTGGCTTTCTCCCCCCCCTCTCTCTCTCTCTTTCTCTTTCATCTCCGACAGAAATCACGCATTACATTTAAAACACACAAACGCGTTTTTTTTTGTTTTTTGATAATGAAACCGTTTTTTTTTTTTTAAATTCGAATCGTATCGTCTGCTTTGTTTTTTTTTCCACCATTTGACATCATCCAACGGTATTCGATATGATGATGATAAAAACGTTCGAAATAACCCTCCACACATTGAGAGTGAGAGTGAGAGAGAGAGAGAAACTCGTGCTCTGGGGAAAATCATTTCCGGTTTTGTTATTTTTTCTTTTTTTAACCCATAAAATAATTTCAGACGTTGAAAATTTTTTTAAAAAATTACACACATGCGTGGGAACACCAAAAAAAAAAAATTGACTAGGATGACAAAAATGACATTGGTTAAACAAAAGGTTACCAACACAAAAAAAAAAAAAAAATTTAAATTTAGTCAATTGACTCAATAAAAAAATTATTATTATTCTTTTAAATTTGAAGCCAAAACGTTTCTTTTCCATCATTTGTTTTTGTTTTCGGGGGGGGGGAAGCGGGGGTAGGGGAGAAAAGGTAGACAAATAAAAATTTCGCGAACGGTTTAAAAAAAAATTTTTTTTTTCAGATTGTTTTACATTTGTGATAAATTTGCAAGTATAAGCAAATTCGTACGAAATCGATACCATTTTTTTTTCTTTTCTTTTTTTCCATTTTTATTCATTTTACTTACTTACATTCGACTAGCAAAAATTTCCTTGACACACAAAATAAAACAGAAAAAAATTTTAAATTTTACGTTTTTGTGTAAGACAAAGACAAAGAAAAAATTTTTTTTCTATCATTTCAACAACTCATTGCCAAAAAAAAAAAAAAAAAATTTTAAAACAAACAAAAATTGGGTTGATTATTAATAGCATTTGAAAAAAAAAAAAAAAAAAAAATTCTACGAACGCATCAAAATCATTATTATTATTATTATTATTATTATTTATTTTTTTAACCGCAAAACACACACGAACTCACGCAAATAAGAGAGAGAAAGAAAATAAATAAATTTTGTCATGAATGTTATTTAAGAGAACGTGATCATCGTCTCACCTTATTCTTAAATAATAATAATAATAATAAAAATTTGTTTAACACACTTATTAACACTTTTTTTAACTTCAAATAATAATAATAATAATAATAACTTTTTACTTTCGTTTACTTTAAATAAATATTTTTTAAAAAAATTATGTTTTCTTTTAAGGTACTTATGGATACAGTGAATGAAATAAAACTAGACGATACACAACAACCGCAAACACCACCGCCACCACCATCATTTCTACTACCACTACCACCACCACCACCACCACCACCACTACTATTACTATTGCTCAAAAAAAAGAAAAAAATTAAACAACTTCCTGAGATTTGACATAACACACATTCGATTATGCAGTTGGTGCTATTACATCAAATTAAAAAAAAAAAAAAAAAAATTCTACTTTCACTTTCTTACTACGAAACGAGTTATGCTTTATTATTATTATTATTATTACTCTTTCTTTTTAAATCGCCTTTATTTAGTTTACGAAAATACAAATCTTCTTAAAAAAAATTTCAAAATAAATCATTAGGAAAAACTGTACATTTTTATTTTTTCTCCCTTTTTTTTTTAAAAAAAAAAAATTCTTTCAACGTTTCATATTTTAAATTATTTCAAACGTTCATTCATCAACCGTACCTGATAAAAACGTTAACAAATATTACAAAAATAAGGGATAAAAAAAGGGGGGGGGTGTATGATGATATTATTAAAAAAATAAAAATGAACAATAACAAGCGACAAGAAAGAAAATTAATTTCATTTCGATTATAAACTTCTCGAGAAAATGAAAAAATTGTAAAACAAACAAAGAAAAAAGAAATTTTTATATTTTTATTATTGTTTCCATGTAATTAAATTAATTAAAATCAATTATAATTCTTATCGAATTAATATATATATATATATATTGCAAGGTGAATGGATTTCATTACAATTAATTTGAAGTATCGATAAAAAGGGAAAATTTTCCAAATGCATACAAATTGCAAATGAATGCAATAATGTGGTTAAATGAATATGATACCTTATCAATCAATAACCTTAATATTATTAAATATAATAATAATAATAATAACTTGAGAAAACAAACGAAAAGAACGAGAGAGAGAGAGAGAGAGAGAGAAAACAAATGAATTTAAATTAAATGAACTTTTTTTTTTTTTCATATTTACATAACAGTAACAACATATTGAACAAATGAAGGGTAAATTTAATAACAATGACAAACTTTCATAATAAATAATTATTAAAATCATTGCTAAATGTTATGTAATTATGTTTAAAAAAAAAAAAAATTTATTTGAGGTAATGAATAGACTATATGGAAAAAAAAGAAATGTTTTACATGAGTTTTAACACTTGATATAACCCTTATTAAAAAAATATTAATAAAAAAAGTAATTTAATTACCTTGTTAAAAAAATTTAACAGGAAAACCAAGAACAGTCGTAAATAATATATAATTAAATAAGGTATTATTGTCAAAAATTAATTATTAAAATTTTTTTATAACGTTAAAACGTTTGTTCACTTAATAGTTTTTTTTTTTTTTTTAACAACGAATAATTACATTTAATTAATTTAATTATAATAAAATTTATGTAGATAATTTTTTAAATATCATAAGAAACAACTAAGAGTTGATCAAGGACGTTTGTGAAAAGATAAAAAGTGGGAAAAAAAACGTAGTAGATTAAATTGTTTACGGATTATTATTGCTACTACATACCTTTTATTCGTTTCGTTTTTTATGAAATTTTTAATATCTGATTCGACATCTTCGATAAAATTTGTATCTTGTAAAGATAAACAACGACCGTTAAATATAAAATTATCCAGTTTGATGTTTATTAATATACGATTGAAGCATTATTATTAATAATAAAAACTAAATTAACACACGCACTCACTCACTCAATGTTAGAATATGAAAACCGCCATTTTGAACCGCCGAGAGAAGGTGAGTCAGTGTTGCCGTCGCGTTATGCGGCGTTACCAAATTAAACTTTTTTGAAAAAATTCGAATAACGTTTTTTTTTTTTCGTTATTTATTTAAATTTTAATTTTTCTGCAAAAAAAAAAAACAGGTTCGTTTTATTTCGTTGAATGATTTTTATAATTATTTGATAAATTTTTATTACGTAAATCTCGATTGCACTCTCTCACAATTATAATTATTTATGCAACTTTATTATTATTAATAACTTTGCAAATAAATTTTTATTACCGCCATATTTGTTTTGAATTTATTAATAATGCCCGACTGAGTTTGATTGACCAACTTTTTTTTTCCCTGTTTATTATTTCAAATATTTAACATTTTTTAATTACTTTGGTTCATTTATTTAATTAAATACCTTTCCGGGAGTTGTTTTTTTAAATAAATAAAAATAAAATTTAAATTAATTTTTTTAAAACTTGATTTATATTTTAATATGTACATATGGGATGAACGCCCATCGCATTCGAAATAAACTTTTTTTTTGTGATTAAAAATAATAAAAAAGTCATTATTCACACGCGATTGCCTTTTCAATACTTTCCACCCTTCTTCTTCTTTTTCTGTTGGTACTTTCTCTTTTGCTGTCTAGGTCCTTGACTTTCTGATATTGGACTGCTTGGATTTGGAGAATTTTTCGAACCCAAATTTTGATTTTTAGTGATGTCGCTGAAAAGAAAATATTGATTTATTATGGCGAAATACGGCAAAAAATTCGACGTGGAAAAGTAAATAAAACGTTTCCTTACTATAAATCGCTTGCTCCGGTCGCCGAACCTTGTGTACCTTTTCCCACGTCTCTACCCCCTCTTCGATCTTTTTTCTTTTTGTATCCCGTTCTTTGATGACGAGGAAGCCATCTTTCAGGATCGGGCATGACTCCCGGCTCGTAGTATTGCGGTAATTTTCCTTTCTTCTTTTTATTTTTCTTTTTCTTTTTTATGAGTTCGTCTCCGCCCGGCGTTCTGTGAAATCGAAATAAGATTTCCGTTAAATTGAATCAAAAAAAAAAAAAAACCATCGATTTGAAAACGTTCATCCATTCATTTCTTACCCCGGTTTCGGAGAGGCTTCGACTTTAGCAACTTTTTTAATGACTTTCGTTCCCATCATCCAATTCGAATTTTCTAAAACGTCCACCTCCGAAGACTTCGACAAGTTCAATTGTGGCAATTGCTTACTTAGATTTTGAGCTTTTTTCGAATCGAATTGTGCGTAGGCAATGACCAATTGAGCTAAAGTTTTATTGTCACTCGGATTCAACCTCAACAATTCTTCTAAACTGTTAGCTGCCACTTGAGGCTCTCCGCTTCTCAAATGAAAATCCGCGGCTTGTCTCCACAATGCGCTTAAATTTCCTTTATTCGACTGACTTCTATTTTTATACCAATCAACGGCGTTTTTGAATATTTCCGAAGCTTTGGCACGGTTGTCCTCCGATAAATATAACGTAACTAAGGCACTTATTATACCTGGTCGAACCTTGTTTTCATCCAGCGATTCCAATATCCTACACGCCTCTCTTTTTTCACCCTGAAATTTAAAAAATTTAAAAAACCATTTACAAACTTTTATGAATTAAAAATATCATTTTCCCCCTTTCTCCCCCCTCCACCCCCCGGGGGAAGTACTTACGGCGGTAAGCATTATTTGAACAGAAGCAAGTTTCATATCCAATTCTCTTTCTTTGTGTTTTTTCGCGTAGTTTTCTAATAAATTAGCGGCTTCTTTGATTTTGTTGTCTCTCGACAACTGCACGGCTTGTACCAAGGCAGCATCCGCCGCATATTCCGGATAAGTTTGAGCTAATTTATTGCAAAGAGTTTTGCCCAATTCAACTTGATTTGTATACACCGTTAATAAGCATTGATTGAAGGCTATGTTTTTTTTTTGCAATGTACTCAACTTGTGTTCGACTCCTTCGGCAGTTGCATTTTTCATTTTTTTTTTAGAATCGAATAAATTTTGATCTCTGTTTATTGTGAGAGAATTGTTACTCGCAACGGCTATGAGACCAACATCGCTTGGCTTAGATTTAAGAATGGAATTGTAAATCGTTTGAGCTTCTTTTTCTCTTCCTTGCATTTGAAGACAATATGCAAGTTGTCCTCTGAAATTTATAGAAATGATCATACATATTATTATAATACACCACTGAGTGTATAAAAAACTTAAATTACAAACAATAAAGTAATAGAGTCATGAAAACAGTTTAAATCGATTTTCTACTAAAAGCTAACCTGATTATTCCTACTTCGGCTTCGATATCTTCTTCTGGAGTTCCATCTTCCTCTAATGCCTCTCTACATAACTTTTCTGCCACTTTTAATTTTTTTTCAGCTTCAATAAATAATCCTTTGCCAATTAAATGGCATGCAGCATTATATGCTAGCTCAAATGTATCTTCTTTAAGCTTGGGAAGTTCTTTATTCTACATAAAACATGTTATTTTAAAAACTATGTGATTGGAGATTTAAATATGTTAATAAAATGTCACTGTGTACTTAAAAATTAAATTGAAAGTGAAAATTAAAAAAAAAAAATTAATATTCAGAGAATACTTACTGATTTTGTTAGGTAGAGATTAGCGACAACAGCAGATAAATTTGTTTCTCTTTCATTTTCATAATCATCATTACTGTTTTTAATAACTGATTTATACATTTCAAAACATTCTTCATATTGCTCTAATCTATACAGAATTTGAGCTTTTAATTCTTTTAATTTTTGATCCAAATTAGTTGAAGTGTTTATAGTTTTTAATGCTTCTGCTGGCTGATTGAGTCTGTATTGACAATATGCTTTTTCGAAAATCATATTGCTGAAGTGAAAAAAAAAAAAATTTTTATTATTCTTTCAGAAGCGATTTATAAAAAATAATTTGATTTAAATTTTGACTCACTCTTTGGGGAGTTTACTTTGTCTAAGGATAGCTTGAAGTGCATCTTGAAATCTAGACAATTGAATTAGACAAACAACTTTGCAATGAAATGCTTCTTCTTCATCTGGTGCCTGTGTCAAAACTGTAATAAGGTTATTAAAATTAATTATCTTCACAACAAGCCTTACAACAAATCATACAAAAACAATTACAAGTGAAATTATATAAATTGAAATAAATTTTTATACGTTCAAAAAATTAAATATCATTAAAGTTTTTAAAACTGATTAATAATCACTATCACTGTGCAGGTAAATTTAATTAAGAATGGGGCATATGGCATGTAAAATTTCAAATAATTACCAATTATTTATTAAAATCATAGTAAAACACTCACTTTTATTAGTTAGTTTTAATGCTCTCTCATATTCACCATTCTGACCAAGTCTGTTTAAATCAGAATATAAGGAACTGAGAGTTACTTCTTTCGATGCCATGTTTTTGTAATTCACAATTGACAGCGTGTAAGAAGCAACAAGCCTCCGAGATAATTTCAAAAAAATATATATCCTTTTTTTCTCATAAAAATAAACATTTTTATGTTGTATTAATACAACAAACTTCTTTTTTCAAACATTTTCTAAAACACTATTATTAAAAATTCTTCAAAAACACAAAAAAAAAAAAATTTCGACTTCGGAGCCGTTTATTTAAACAAGATAACGGAGGCATTGTACGATAGATATCCTTAAACTTTAACGTTTATTTGAATTTCGCTTCTTTAGTTTACATTTGAATTTCTTTAAGTGTTTTATATTAAATTTTATTTTTAATGAAAATGCCGGAGACAAGAACGGAGTTTAAATTAAACAATGCTCCAGGTGATGGAATAACCTCAGTAAAATTCGGTCCAAACTCCTCACAATTTTTATTAGTTTCTTCTTGGGACGCTACAGTTAGGTTATATGATATACTAACAAATAATATGAGATTAAAATACGAACACGAAATGGCGGTTTTAGATTCTTGTTTTCAGGTATTTTTATTTATTTTAATAAAAATAATATTAATATTTTCAAATGATTATCTCTACGACTTGATCTATTTATTTAAGGATGCAGTTCATTTATACAGTGGAGATTTATCAGGTCATTTAAAAATGTATGATGTTAATGCTAATTCAGCAACTAACATAGGTACACATGATAATGCTATTAAAGCAGTTGAGTATTCATTAGATGTAAACACAATACTGACTGGAAGTTGGGATTGTACAGTTAAAATGTGGGATATTCGAAGTCAGCAAAGCGTTGGAACATATTCGCAGCCTGGAAAAGTATTTTACTCTCAATAGTTTTCTATTTATTTTTATTTATCACAAAACTAAATATTATTCTTGTTCAAAGGTTTATACTATGAGTTTGTGCGGTGAAAAATTAATAGTAGGCACTTCAGGAAGAAAAGTATTAGTCTGGGATTTAAGAAAAATGGGTTTTGCTAGTCAGAGAAGAGAATCAAGTCTTAAATATCAAACAAGATGCATTAGGTGTTTTCCTAATAAACAAGGTTATGCATTAAGCAGCATAGAAGGAAGAGTTGCTGTTGAATACCTGGACACAAATCCTGAAATACAAAAAAAAAAATATGCATTCAAATGTCATAGAATAAAAGAAAATGGAATCGAACATATTTATCCAGTTAATGCGATTAGTTTTCATCAGGGGTACAACACATTCGCAACAGGAGGCTCAGATGGTTATGTTAATATTTGGGATGGATTTAATAAGAAAAGATTATGTCAGTTTCACAAATATTCAAATTCGATAGCATCACTCAGTTTCAGTCACGATGGTAAATATGATGACGATTACAAAAAAAAATGATTTGAAAACTTATCAAGTTAATTTTTTTTTAATATAAATTTTCTCTTTTAGGTTCAGCTCTTGCCATTGCATGTTCTTATATGTATGAGCAAGCCACCACACCAGATCCTCTTCCTGTCGATGAAATATTTATAAGATATGTAACAGATCAAGAAACCAAACCGAAATAATGTACATAAAAAGAAAGATTTCCTTTTTTTTTTTTTTTTTTTTTTTTACATGCAATAATTTTAAAACTTGTGTATCTATTTATATATTTATATATACAATCAATTATAAATTTTAAATATTATAAATTAATTGACTGCTTTTTAAAAGCGCCATATTTAAAATTTATATCTATTATTATTATTATTTAACACTTGATTCCTTTTTCCTTGGAAAAAACAAATTTACAACTAAATTTTGACAGAGTGATGCGTAAATTGAAAAAAAATATGTCTTATAATATGAAATATGTCTGATTTTAAAATGAAAGAGAATTTTTTAATTGATTAATAATATTGTTAATTAATTAAAGAGAGAGAGAGAAAGAAAAAAACATTTCCTACTTATTAAAACTTGTTAATTTTCTCCTCTTCGTCAAAAAAAAGCATCATAATGCAATTTCAAGGGCGCTTTAATAAAATCAATTTGTGGAGAAAAAAAAATATTAAAAATTTTAATAAAAACGACCGGAAAATTTATTTTGTTTTACGTACCGCGCGCGTAAAAAAAAACATGGCCGCCATTTTGTTTTCTCCGATTCTTTCTTTTCAAAAATAGACTAACCGTCGTCAACTCATTCGAAAAAATTTAAATTTTCAAATTTACTCTAATAATAATAATGATAATAATTTAATGTAAATTTTTTTTTTCGGTGTCGAAAAAGTAAATTTAACGTAAAAATAACGATACGATTTTTTTTTTTTTTAAATTTATTCTCTTTTTATTTTCGTCAACATATAAATAAATAAATAATTCAAACGGTTTTTTTTTTTTGTGTGCCGACTTTCCGATTCGAAAAATAAAATAAAAAATGTGACGACTTTTCCTACAAATTCTTTTGATCCAAAATTTTTCTTTCGTTTCTTTTTTCATTTAATTTTTTTCTCAATTCGTCTAAATAATCGGATTTAAAAAATAATTTTTCTTTTTTCGTATCGTTTTCTTTTTTCGACGACGACGACAACGACGACGATGACGTCGAAGACGACGACAATATCGATGCTTTTTGTTCTTTTCTACACAAACAACGAAAAATAAAATAATTCGACGCCATCTTTGTTTTCCGTTTCCCCCCGTCTTTGTACGTTAATCGTTACAAAAAAAAAAAATTTTTTTTTTTATTAATTCGTCTCTTTTAACCCCATTATTATCATCATTATTTAGATTTTATCGATCGAACCAAAAAAAAAAAAAAAAAGAAGCAAAATCGAACGAAATTAACGACATTTTTATAAATATAAATCTTTATCATCAATTATTCGTAATTAATAATAACGGAATTTATTAATCGAAAAACTCGTTCGAGATCGATTTCGAACGTCCGCCATTTTTATAAATAGGTAGGTTCACGTTCTTATAATTAAAAAAAAAGGTTTTTTTTGTTTTTTTTTTTAACTCACGTTATCAATTTGTGACTTTCGATGAGTTCCATGTAACTTTGTACAATTTCTTTCCGACATTCTTTTTTATATTTTATCAAAGCTTTTTTCCTTTCCAATTCATCTTTCAATTCGACTCTCAATATGAATAATCTTTCTTTGAGTTCCGCCATTGACATTTCCGTGAGTAAACCCGTGTTGGGAGCGTCCGTTAATATTATTTCCTTTCGTCTAATGAGTCCGAAAGCTTGCAAAGCTTTTATTTCTTTTATGAGTTGAATTTTTTTCTGAAGATCTTCTTCTTTCTAAAAATGACAGTAAAAAAAAAAAAAAAAAAAACGAAAAAGGATAAATTTTAAAAAAATTTACCGTTGTTCAGAACGTTTTTCTCCCTGCCTTTTTTCTTTTTTTTTTCCCCCTTCAATCGTACCAATATTTTGGTGTTTAAACATCTTCAGGTGAATACTACCTCCTTCATCCATTTTTCATAGAGTAATTTTGATTCTTGTGCCGTTTCCATTGCTGAAAAGAAAACAAAAACAAACGAAGAATTACAAATTTTTACATGAATTTGACATTTGTTGGAAATTTATGTTACCCCCCTCCCTCCCTACCCAATTTATGTTTTTCTTCTTTGACATGTTCCACGGCATCTTTAACCCCTTTTTCCGCTTCTTTTTCTTTTTCCACGACATATTTCAACCTGATCAATTCCTCTTGTTTCCATTCGTCGATTTCTTTCATCCAAACATCTTTTTCTCTTTTAACTATTTCCGCTTGTTCTTTTTTTTTTTTTATGCATTTTTGTTTGGCTAAAACGGCTTCTTCGAACGAGAGCAAACCTTCCAAATGTTTTCTCTCAATGTCTTCCATGTATTTACGATATTCTTCTTCCCTTATATCTTCTTCCATTTCCACGATTAAATCCGAATTGTATCCTCCTCTTTCTAAATCTTCGAGCCTTTCGAAATAATAAGAAAAAAAATTTTTTTTTTGTTTGTAATGAGAGGTAGGGGGTGGGGTGGGGGGAAATGAGATGAAGGGAAGCTGAATAAGCATTTTTGATAGAAAGCCACAATAATGCGATTCATCCGCGTGAATTATCTCATTTCGACCGTATCAGATTGAGAAAGTAATAAATTGCAACGTTGAATTTGACTACGTGACCCTAGACAGGTTCGCAACGTGCAACCAAAAAATTATTCCCTCCCTTCCCCCCCTCCCTCGCCACTTCGTACCTTTTTATTTCTTCGTTTTCAATTTTTAAAAGTCTTGCACCTTCTCTCAAAATAACGGCGGCTGTTTTTTTTGGCGGTGTCACATTTTTAAATATAACCTAAAAAAAAAAAAAAAAAAAAAAAATTTCAAGATAAATTTTTTAAAAGAGTATTTCATTTCATTTTTATTAAAATGCTAACAATTTAAAATTTAATTAGATTACACTTTGCTTTTTTTTTTTTAAATAAAAGCCGACATTTTCTTTTTTTTTTTTTTATTACCGTTATCTCCTTATCAGCAATCTCTTTTTCTTACAAAATTTTTTTTTTTTTATATAAAAATTCGACGACGTAATCTTTATGTGTCATTATTATAATCTTTAATTGTTAAAAAAAAAAAAAAAAAAAAAAATTTTATGGATTTTTGCATGTTAAAAAAAAAAAAAACCTTTTTATGTTGTATTTTCTTCTGACACGTTTCTTTTTTTTCCTCCTCTTCAATTTTTTTTATCAATTCTTTATATTTTTCTGATTTTTCCGTTATTGAACATCGATATGCTTTTTTCTGTGCTTCTTCGTATAAACTCATTGCACCCTCACGATTTTTCATTTTTTTCTCTTTTAATTTTTCCATTTCCAACGGGAGAATGTACGTCGTGTCTGGAACTCTGCTCGCTTTTATAACGACAGGAATTCTCGTTTTCAACGGTTTCTGAAACTGTATTTGAATATTATGTTTTGTTACCACATAAAAATTATTGGATTTCATCCCCTCCCTCTCCCCTCTCCCTCTCTCTCTCCCTCTTTTCCCTCACTAACCTGAACGACACTTTTTTTTTTTTCGTTAATTTTTTTTTTATTATTTTCATAACATTTCGGTCCTACCGACACCGTCAAATTTTTCACAGTGAATTTTTTTTTTTTAATTTCCATAAAATGATCATCGATCGCATCGTTGATTTTCTAAAAAAAAAATAATAATAATAATCTTTATAAATATTTTTCTTTCCGGGGGGGAGGGGGGTTTGATAATCGATAACTATTTAAAATTACTTGGAAAACTTTATTATCGTTTATTATATTTTTCAACAAGTTGGCCACGTATTCGACGTCCCATATTTGACAACCCCATTCGTATAATCTTGTGACCATGTCTTTTTTTTTAAATATTTTCACTGTCGTCAATGCTTTTTGATCGTTGACTGACAACAGAATGTCAACAATTTCATCTTTCGTATCCTCGTTCAATTCGATGACAATCAAATAAAAAAAAACTGAAAATAAATAATGATAATAATAAACTGAGATTAAACATTCTCCTCCAAACCATTTATCATAATCATCATCATTATCGATACGAAAAAGGTTTTATTATGACGTAATCTTAAGGTACGCTTAATGACTTATCGAAAGGTATAACAATCGTTAAATTTAAAAATATATATGCTGCATAAATTAAAAAAAAACGTTTTCATTAAATTTTTTAGGTCAGTGAAAAAGTAACGGATAAAAACGACCGTTTAAAAATGGTTTGTCTGTGCGTGCACGTGCGCACGTGAATGCTTACGAGACAGTTTTATTTATAATTTTTCTCATTTAATAAATTATAATCGTTGCTAAAAACTTATTAACTAAATTAAACGACAAAAAAATAATCCAAATTGTTGTTGTTGTTGTTGTTGTCAAATGGTTCTTTGTTTGTGCATAGTTGCCTATATCATATAAATAATATTTTTATTGATAATCTAAAATTTGTTTTATTGTATCAATAATAATGATTATGTTAAAAATTTTTATTATTATTTATTTAAAAATATTATTCAAACAACTATGAATTCATTGTATAAATTTTTATAATAATTACCATAATAAATCATCAAATCGTTTTCGTTAATTTTTTTCATGAATTTAATTTCCGTTAAATTATTTACAATCGATTCTAAATAATCTTTATATTTTAATATTGTGAAAAAAAATTCAATTATCGAATCTTTCAATTCCTCGCTGTAGTTATTATTCTAGAAAAAAAAAAAGAAACAAAATTTAATTTTATTCGTTTACCTCATGTAATTTAATACATATAGATATATATATATATATATAAAACATTGTTGCGTTATTTACATTATCTAATTTTTCTTGTAAAAATTTTTCAGGTGTCAATACGTCATATTTACTCATTAATGCTTCTTCGAAAGAATCGACATCTTTAAATTTTCTTAATAAATCAATTGTGATTTTAACGGCTTCGACTGATGGCAAATACATTATTATTATTCGAATGAATTTTTTCCTCTCTAAAATAAAACCTTTTTTTTTTCACTTTATCCGTACGTACAAACAATTCCTTTAAATATAATTTGTTTTAACTTTTGAATTAAAACGAATAAAAACGAAACGTTTCTTTTTTTTTATCTTAATAAAATAAAAATTAAAAAAAACTTACTTCACCACTGACGCGTTGAAAAATTTTATCGCTTCTTTATTGTGACGTAATCAAACCGTCTGCTATTTTTTTTTTTTTTCATTTACCTTAGGGGAAACTTTTTACCGATGACGTATTTGAATTTTGGCGACAACTTTGGAATGTTCTAACTTGTTAATAGAATTTCAAAATGATTTTAACGGTTTTTTCATCCTTTCACGGTTCGATTTTGTAATGTGCGTTTAAATTTATAAAATTTCGATTGTTTTTCGTTACCCGCGTTAATTTTACATTCATAATTTTAATTATATGCTTCGATGTGTTATTTATAACGAATTTTCGATTGTTAATATAACGCGGGTTTTACGATTTATTAATTTTTGTGAATGCATATATTTATACAAGCTATTGAAGTGACGCCATTATAGGACGCCATTAGATAATTATTTAATACCTATTAAAAATTTGTTAAAATTTACATTTTTTACATACAAATAAACGTTTTCATCATGGAAAAATCAAAAAGATAATAATAATAGTGATGTTAAATAGCGTGAGTGAAACATTTTTCAAAAATTTATCTTATTAACAACATTTTGGAAGAAAGATAAAAATACTAACCAGGTGGAGGAGAGAAATATGTATGAGTCAATTAAACAAAATCTGGAATCGTTTTACTTTGTTGTTGTGCACATACAAAAATAAATATAAAATAAATAAAATTAGTTGAATCAGAAGTGAAAAAAAAAAAAAAAAAAAACATCAAGTTCATGTGTGTGTGTGTGGAAAAAGTTTTTAAAAAAAAAAAAAATAATAAATGAGTCAGAATAATATTCAAGCGTCACGTTTTAAGGAACTAGATTGGTTTTATAGTAGTAGTGACAAGCAAATGAATTCAGTAAGAAGGAAGTTTCGAGAAGTTAATTTAGTTACACCGAGTCCAAACGACTATTAATACACAAAAAATTGTGTTTCGACTCCGACATAATCATAGCCGTTACATCTCGTTTTTACATATTTATATTTATATAAATTATTTTTATTTATTCGCGATTATTAATTATTTATTTATATATTTATTTACAAAAAAACTCGATTGATATCAATATAATTAAATAATAATTGGGTGAAAAATGGCCGACGTTGATACTCGGAGAGTTAGTGTGGGTGGTTTAGGACGCCGTACGAGCGTTGGTGGACCCATCGAACAGAGGGTAAGTTTTTAATTTTTTTTTTTTTATTACTCTATGACTTTTAATGGGGAAGGAAAAATATGAGATTTTTTTTTTTTTTTTTAAATTTTTATCACTCGTAATTCGATGTATATTTTTTTTTTTTTTTTACTTATTTCGATAAATCGATTCGAGGGTTGAACTTTTATTATTTTTTGTAAAATTTTAAATTTTTATTGGGTTACATATGAGATCCGGTCACGCTAATTCTGTCACAGACTCCAACCCAGGAGCCAAAATTTTTTTTTTTTCTTATTTTTTTTTTTTTTTTTTTTGGCAGTGAAATATTTTTTTAAAAAACGAATTTTTTTTTAAATTTAATTTTCGACCTGACTCGTACCTGAAAAACCTAAAAAAAAATTTTTTATTTTGATTTTTTACCCAAAAAAAAAAAAAAAATTCATTGAGTGTGTATTTACAAAAAAAATTTTTTTTTTTTTTTAACATCTGTTTGATGTTTTGTAAAAAAAAAAAAAAACCAAGCCCCATTTTCTCTCCCTTTCTCTCTCTCTCTCTCTCTCTCTCTCTCTTTTTAAAATTGGCAAAAGAAAATTTTATATATACAAAAGTTAACTTTTAAAAAAGAGATTTTTTATCTTAATTTTCTTTTTAATTAGTTTCAAATTACTTAAACACAATCGATTTCACTATTATTATTATAGAGATTATTAATTTTGTAAACATCGGATGAATCTTTTATTGTGTGGGGAGAAGGGGGAGGGGGGAAACATAACAACGATTATTTTTTTACCTAAATTTCATTTTTTTTTTGTTGAAAATATATACATGGCAAGGATCACGCTCTAGCTAATTTTGATAAAGACTGTTGTTGTTGATGATGAACTATTTAAAACGCGATTGTATTTTAGAGTTCAACGGTCTGCCGTTGACTGACTACAAAGCTCCATTGCCATCATAACAAATAATAATAATAATAATGATGATAATAATAATTTTTTTTTTTTAATATCAACACATATATTCGGCCAAGGTCGAATAAATAATTGGAATCTGCAATTCGATGTTTTTAAAAGGAATTATTTTCACTTGAACTTATAAATAATAGTTAATTAACGTCTTTTTCATAATAATTCTCTCGTTGTCGCTTTTTTTTTTTTTTTGTTAACTGATAATAATTTTTACTTATTTAATTTTACGAAAATTAATGACACGTTCGAGTTTGTCTTATTCCCCGAAAGATTTTTTTTTCGCACGTGGCGCTTTTTATTAAAAAAAAAAAAAAAAAACAATGAAGGATTATTAAATGATGTTTGATGTTAAAATCTTCCAATAAAAAAAAAAAAAAACAATAATTTTTACACACGCAAACAAACAGATAATAATAATAATAATAATAATAACAACAACAAAACATATCGAAAACAAAATCTGTTTCGTTTAATTAAAAAAAAAAAAAAAAATACGCAAATGTTTTGTTTCACGGGCAAAATAAAAACATAAAAAAAAGTTTTAAATGGCGTAATTAAAAAATTCATGTTACTTAATCTACATCCAACGAAATTTTTTTTTTTTTTTCCGCAGGAAATAACGGATAACAAATAATAATAATAATAATAATGATAATAATAATGTGAGAGGAGACGGTCGAGATAAAATTTTTTATTTTTATTTTTTTCAATTTCCGATTCGAAAATCCGGTCAAACGTAAATTATTTTACATATAAAAACGTATTTATTCTCTATCTCTCTCTTTCTCTTTCTAATTCTATCTCTATTTCTACTATTACTTTCTCTTTCTCACACGTATCCCTCTTTATTGAAAAAAGTTGTTTCTTAAGAGAAACCAACCGAGACACGATAAAAAAAAAAAAAAAAAGGATCCCCTTGTGTGTGTAGTATTGTAGTAGTACGTGCATCGCGGCATGTAAACTTCATTCAACGGATATTTTTCCGTTCAAGGTAAATTTAATTTAATAACAAAAAAAAAAAAAAAAAAATATGCCGTAACTACTACTGCTACTACCGGTTGTCTATTACAACTTTTTAGACACGTATTAATTTCACTTTTTAATAATAACTTTTCTTCCCCCCATTTTGAGGAGAGAGACAGAGGGAGAGAGGCAGAGGGGTTTTAAATTTTTTTGTTTGTTTGTTAATAATCTTAAACAATTTAAAATTAATCTTTAAATTGTTGTTGTTTAATTCGGTGTGTACTATTTGTAGTTTTTAAACGTGCCTAAATTACCATTTTTTTTCCCCTGCCCCTCCCCTCTCATACGTAATGTCGAATGAAAACATGTGGAAAATTTTTTTTTTTTTTTCTTCTTATTCGGTCTTTATGCGCATTAAAAATTTAAATAGTTAAACGACCCAAATTTCATTAATTGCAAACTCGAATAAAAAACAAAAAAAAAAAAAAAATTTTTTTTTTATTATGTGACAAAGAAAAATTTTTTTAAATTTTTACGTTCGTCCGTTCGTTAGACACAAAAGAACATGGGAGAGAAAACGTTCGATAAAATAAATATGAAAATTTTGAACATGTTCCAAATTTATAATATTTAAAAAATAATAATAATAATAATAAACCGTTCGGAATTTTTTTTTTTTTTATTTCTCCCACATTTTTTATTTTTTTTCGTTTTACAAAATGGCGCGTACTTAAAAAAAATTATTCCCGTATAAATTACGTTTTTTAAAAAAAAAAAACTTTTGACCAGTTAAACTATTGTTTATATAATATCGGACAAGTTATTATGGTCTATGTTTATGTCAAGGACACAAGGACGTACACAAATTAATATTTTACTGGAATCTATGATGATAATAATAATAAATAACGATTTTGGAGTCGCAAAACACAACAAGTCGCGAACGTTTTACGCGGTTTTAATTTTTTTTTTTTTTGTTAAACATCCGTAATTAAAACAACAACAACAACAAAACTTGTTTAAACCTGGACAACATTCCAGAATTTTTTTTTTTTTTTTTAAATGCCTGCGTCTACTTTTTTTTCCTCCAATACGACAGATAAAATATAAATTTAAAAAAAAAAAAAATATTAATCGACCATTAAGTTACTTTAAAAAAAAAAAAAAAAAATTAAGCGACAAACACGTTCTATATTTTAACGACTGCAAACAAACAAACAAACAAACAAACGGATTAAAAAAAAATTTTCCCCCATTACTAATAAATGACAAAACATCATATCAGATTAAAATAAATAAATAAATAAATAAATTTTTAAAGGGCAATATTACTTGTTGTTAACATTGAATATTTTTTCTTTTTGACGTTTTTTTTTTAAACCGAGTTTTAGGTTTTGCAATATTTCAGGTTTTTCGGAAAGAGAGAGAGAGAAAGAGAGAGAGAGAGAGAATGAGAAAGAAAAAGTTAGAGAATGAGAAAGAAAAAGAGAGAGAGAGAGAATGTGTTGAAAAAGAGAGAGAGACAGAGAAAGAGAATGAGAATGAGAATGAGAAAGAAAAAGAGAGAGAGAGAGAGAACGAGAAAGAAAAAGAGAGAAAGAAAAACAGAGAGAGAGAGAGAGAGAGAGAAAGAAAAACAGAGAGAGAGAGAAAAAAGCAGCTTATTTTCGATAACGATTCTATATATACACGTGATTATTAGTCGGTTACGGTCGAAAT